TAGCGAGCTGCTAAGGAACTGAAGGAAAAAGGGGTAAGCAGTTATAGATAGATAGAGAAGGAGAAGAACATCAGGAAAAATGTAGAACCGCCTTACGAGTAAGTAAAATAAACCTTGTAAGTTTAACTGGCTGATTTTGGTGGAGTTCCTCTCCTTCTCGCCGACCCCATCAGTAAACGACACTAAAAAGCATCGTTGACCAGTGGAGAAGCCTTCTTTATCAGTAGCACACCAAAATAACCTATATCAGAGGTGGGCTGAGTTACGTTCATCAGAGTGCCGAAAAAAACATCAGTTTATCCCAACTGTCAAGGGAGGCGTCTCCACAAGAGAGGGGGCGTTTATTAGAGGGGCACATTTAATATAAACGTATGTTAAAAAGTGTAGCGTCTATTGAACACTTACACTCGTTCTCTAGTTGTTCCTTGTGTACTTATGAAATTAGCAGTTCCAGCGTCAGTTCTATCAGAGGGCGTTTTCCTTAAAAACGAATCCAATAAAAGCTGGTTGATTTAGACTGTGTAATATGTATATATTTTTTATCCATTTTGAGAGCCGTTTGCATTTAATTAGTTAGAAAAAATTTCTCGGTTCGGCCTGTTCAACAGTCTTTTACAATGGCACAAGTGTCTAGGGAGTTTTTTCAATAAAGGTTAAGGTAATGTTCACAAGCTACCGATAGCTTTTCGTGGTGCCACGAAAAGCTACCAAGGATTGTGTAAACCGGCACCAATTCGATATGTGACTCTCCGCTTTAGAGATCGGCGCAGCGCAGTTTCGCTTTGTTACAGAAATGGCGCAGTTATAACCGTTTTTGTCGGTGTGAACAGAGCCTCTATCCGGTGTGATTTTCATGGCGGCGCAAAAGCTATCCTTAAAAATGAATCCAATAATAAAGCTGGTTGATTTAGACTGTGTTATATGTATAACACTTTCTTACAAGAAATTTGAAATTTTCATGATCAAGAAATTAGGGCAAAAACAAAACAAAACAAAAACAATGTAACAAAATTTTTTTGAGGATATAAGAATGTTAATTTTTTTTCGAATGCATTCAAAACATAACTTCTGATCTCAAGGCTATTTGCTTTGTGATTTTTGCGAGGAAGGTGTTTATTAGCCTGAACTTCAGACACTACAAAATAACTTCGAGTCGATCGCTTACTCCCCTAGTTACTGAGGGAGTAACCGACCTGCAGTAATGTCTGAAGTTCAAGCTAGGAAGGTGTATGCACTAGGTTTTTCGCTTGAAACTTGGAGCTGCTTTCGAAGGGAGTTTGTCAACCTAGATGGCGCGGATTTTCTGCTCTACTTCCCGGTTTTGCGACACTACATGCATGTGAGGTTCGCAGATGATGCCGGCACCACCGCTCATATTGCTCTGAAACTTACAAGAGCGACTTACTGAAATCAACACCAGATAAGTACATCTGTTTATTCTTGGTTCTATTTGCCATACAAACACTTAAATTACGCTTGGGTTACACATATCGTCAATTTTCAAAGTCAGGACAAACGTGAAATGAACACAGTTTACGGCGTGGAAGCGGGAAACGTATGTTTGGTGACAGTCTCTTTCGCCCTAGTCGGCAGTCAAATATCCCCACGTCGGGCGAAGAAAGATTCAAATATCCCCTTCCGCGGGAGAACAAGATCAGTCAAATGCCCTACCCCAGGGCCAACAAAGACAATCAAATCCCCACCCCATGCCCCGCCATGGCTTTACATTGATAGGTGCATTACTACAAAGAAAAATCGCTTTTGGCAGCCTAGTGAATTACTATCACATTCTGTTTGACAAGAAATTTGAAATTTTCAAGAAATTAGGGCAAAAAAAAAAACAAAACAAAACAAAACAAAAACAATAAAACAAAGTTTTTTTGAGAATAGAAGAATGTTATTTTTTTTCGAAAGCATTCAAAACATAATTTCTGATCTCAAGGCTATTTGCTTTGAGATTTTTGCGAGGAAGCTGTTTGTTAGCCTGAATTTCGGACATTACTTCGAGTGGATCGCTTACTCCCTCAGTTACTGAGAAAGTAACCGACCTCGAAGTAATGTCTGAAATTCAAGCTAGGAAGGTGTATGCATTAGGTTTTTCGCTTGAAATTTGGAGCTGCTTTCGAAGGAGGTTTGTCAACGACTAGATGGCGCGGATTTTCTGCTCTCCTTCCCAGTTTTGCGACACTTACCATGTGAGGTTCGCAGATGATGCCGGCACGACCGCTCATATTGCTCTAAAACTTACTGCGGACTAACTGAAATCAACACCAGATAAATAAAGTGTCTCTGTTTATTCTTGGTTCTATATTTGCCATACAAAAGCTTAAATTACGCTTGGGTTACACATATCGTCAATTTTGAGAGTCACGGGACACACGTAAGAAATGAACACAATTCACTAACCTCCTTACAGTATACTAACAGGATAGATTTTATTGGGAGTGTTCCACGAACCTCGAACTCTTAACATATTTAGTCTCAAGCAAATTTTTACAATTTACGTCTCTACGACAGTAGAACTATTTATGACTCTTTTAAGACCTTGTCGGTAATTACTACTAAAAATAAAGCAGATAAGCGGGTTAATAGCACAGTACGAGGAGGCCATACATATGGTGACATCAAAGTATAGCTGAAAACCACAGGAAAAATGTATGGAACCGGCTCGAACGATAAAAAAGTTAGTAGTATAAGGTAACCAGCAAAGCACAAACACTGTTACGATAGTAATGGACAGCTGAAGGACGTTTCTGTTTCTTCTGTTCTGCTGTTGCTGAGTGTTCGCGAACTGTTCACCCGGGTGTACTTGTGTCTTGAGATTGATAAGAATGATGGAGTAAAGAATGGCTAACAACAGCACAGGGAGGTATATAAACACTATAAAGAAAGCTACTATAAAGTCAGTAAAGGACGACGACTCTCCAAATGCTTTTTTCCATCTCTCAATACACTCGGTTTCCCCTTGGTATTTAAAGAGGTCGAAGACGAACAAGTACGATGAACTGAAAGCCACTGCAACTATCCACGTGGCAAGAATGAAGAAAGGACTTAGCTCGCACCTGATGAATGGGGAACGGAGTGGAAACACCACGGCTCCAAATCGATCCACTGCTATCAGAATCAGATTCTGAACCGAAACGGTAATGGAAACATAACTAAAGAAAGGGACAATCTTGCACAAGGCCTGGCGAAACTGACCACCGATCGACCACGAGTTGTCATTATAGTGCAACTCTGACAGGCGCCAAGGTAGCCAGAATATTGGAAACAGAAGATCAGACACGGCCATGTTTGCGATGAAATAATTTATCGGCTTTCTTAAGGTTGGCGTTTTGCATACGATTATTACAATGAGAGAATTCCCGACCAACGAAACAGCAAGGGTCAGACTCAGAGAAATGATCTGTCCGATCTTTGACGCTGTTAAACTGAAGCAGCTCGAAGACTCGATCGATCCATTCCCTGTTGTAGAGTTCATGTTTGGTGACTTCTGTACAATGCTGTACACGACACGCGGTTAAGTAGCTTCTCGTGACAACTACTCAATATTGCAAACCCTGTCCGCTTAAGAACTTTTATTAAAAAATCCATGCCCCTTCCTAAGCCTTGAGACAGCAGTTGTCAATAAAGAATGAAAGTATATATGTAGCTACGCTAAATTACAAACGACCTAATTAACGTGTGGGACTGCCGTTGTCAAGAAATTATTTGGCCTCCCGTGTTTAGTGCATAGTTGATAAGCGTGTAACCGGAGATTACATTGTCACATCTGTTTGAAATTTGTTTTGAGCACATAGCGTTTGAGTCAATATTTTTTACAGTTATTTTTATTGAGTCAATAAAAGAACTAAAAAAAAATTGACTGAACCGCTACGCTCAAAACAAATTTCAAACAGGTGTGACGATGAAATCTTTGGTTATACGCTTATCAACTAAGCACTAAACACGGGAAGCCAAAATTCAACAAGCGAAAACATACCTTTAGATGTACCCAAAACGATCTAATAGACGCCTATAGGGTGTCTTTTTAATCTTAAGGAGCCCACGAGGGGGCGTTTAATAAATGCCATGGGAGGCGTCTAATGGAGGCCACTAGTTTAATAACTGTAACAAACTCCACAAAACTAATGTTTGCCGATTTCGGTAAATATATCACACAACACAGTTAACAATCATCGGAATATCCAGCGCTTCCCCTTGATACGTCTTGGACGTTTGGACGTAGGGCGGGTAGGAGAGAACCCTGGGAACGATGTTGGGACGTTTGGAGATCCAAGAGAAGTACGAGGACGAGATTTGACTATTGACTACCTCCCCGTAAAAATTTTGTGGCAAATCCACACAAAATATTACAGAGAAACGCAAATTGTGATTTTTTTTTGTACATTATCTACCGTAGCTGCTTGAAATAATAGGAAGTTTAAGATGGCACTACGGCGACAGCAACGAGAACGTCAAAAAGCAATTGGTTAAGATTGGCAAAGTAACAACCCTGCACGTGATGATCACGCTTTTTTGTACATTTCTTTGCAATCACTGTACGACTACGACGAGAATTGCCTAATTTCACGTTTTATCGACAACGTGAACATACGACGAGGAATCTCTCTGCTCTTTTTAAATTTGGATATTTTTCTTAAGACTTCAACTCCAGGAGAGTTCGCCTACATAAAACATAGTGATAAGATTTTCGCGCTAAAGTTCCCGGCATAGAACGAGAAGTCACTTTTTAATCGACGTTTTTGCCGCCGTCGCCGTAACTTAAAAATGTAGTTTTCCTTCCTTTTCCTTTCCTTTCTTTTCCTTTCAATTTATTTTTCTTTTAACTGGTCCGCCTAGATTAGCAATTGCTATTTTGCGGGTCAGTCTATTGTAACCAATAGTCTTATGAAATAAAGTTGAAGTTGAAGTTGGTATCTTCAACTCCCAAATGGCTGCAGTAGATTCTGAGGTATATTTAAAAAAAATATATTTTCTTTGTTAGTTGACTATTGACAAACTCCTACTTGCAATCTCTATTCAGGGACACTTGCCTTGGTACCAAGTGAGTCCCCCGAATAGAGGTTCCACCGTACCTAGATTTTTCACAAAAGAGATTAATAAATAATTGTCTTCAGCAGTGAAATAATTTTCTAGCATTAGGAACAGGACACATCCCCCATGAGAAGTTTTAGACACACCAACACTAAAAACTTGCTTTAGATTACAATATTAATGCAACCTTGCAAGTAATTAAGTTACTTTGAAAACAAAAAATAATAAAAAAGTGTTTGAAATTTGAAGATACACAATAGACAGAGTTATGAACAGGTCTTCTTGTTGTTGGATATTTTGTAAATATATTTACTTCAGATGGAGGCTTGAAAAAAAAGCCTGTTAAAAAAAATGTGTAGACCTTTACTTCTTTTATTCAGTGGTCATAGAGAACTCGAAACTGGACTATATCACTGTTCCTTCAATAACTGAAATAAATAATATTTAAGTGGAATGTACATGTAAATCTGCTGTCGGGGCGGGGGGGGGGGCGGGGGTACTGCCATATATGGGCTATATAGGTATGTGCCGCTGTGAAGGGTATGGTTTTCAAGCAGTTTACTCTAGGATAGGGTATATAAATCAGGACATTTGGGTCTAGAATAGGGTATAATTTTTCAGGAAACTTATCAGTTGGTTGAAGATTTTATCTGGGATTTGGGGAGTTTACCCTAGTATAGCGTAGCAGAATTTAGCTGAACTAGCTCTGGTATAGGTTAAGGGTTCCAGGGTCCCAGCAGTACATCACCACCCAGAAATTCCTAAAGTACCCCTCCCTCCCTCCCCCCCTCCCGTCTGCTGTTCACAGTTGGGGACTCAGTGGGGGGACTGAGAAACCTCAATATCCATGAAAAATTCACAAGACTAATCTCAATACATTTCCGAACAGAAATCTTTTGAAAAACAAAGATAAAAGATCATATGATTTCCCCATAGGTGACCACTTTAGTCTCATAACCTTATTCCTCTTGATTAACTATTCTAAGGAGAAAATTTATGCTGGTTGCACTCTTGTGACTCACATGTATGTACTATTAATTAACCCTTTCAGCCCCACTGAATATCACTGCCAAATTGGCAGGTACAAAACACAGTCCACAGGTCACAGGTACAGGTCACTGCTCTATTGATAAATGTAACTGAGACAAGAATGAGTTTCCTCTTAAGCTAATTAAACTCTACTTTGGACTACTGTGATTAGTTCTGGCTAGGAGACCAGGGTGTGTTGTTTATTTACCGTAACACGGTAACCTGTACTTTATCCTGCACTTGTGACCTGTGACCTGTGATCTGCCCTTTGTACCTGCTGCTACCAAATCAAAATGTATGGGTCAAGAGAATAAATGAAATGATCAGCACTGTAAAAATGTCTTGGTGTTCGAACAAATTCTCCAAAGCAGTACAATAAGAAACAATGCCTCATTTCTTAGTTTTGGTGTGGGACATTTTTCTATTGCCCTTTAGGACTATGACTTTCTCCCTTCCATCAGCATCAGGAAAGAATTGTGACAATGGGAAATCTATTTTTTAAGTCGGCTGAAACTGACATCCGTTCACACGCACTTTGGGTGTATTGGCTGCAAAATAAAATTCTTTCTTCCATTATTTCCAAACATTTTCTTTTTTTTCTTTATTATGTCATTGTTCAGATCAGGTTTTATAACAATTAACTATTATATCCAGGATTTTAATATTCTGCTGTAAATTCCAAGTTGAGTTTTTTACAAAATTTTGGCAGAACTGACACCGTCCTTAAAGCTAAAATGCAACAGCAACATTTTTCCTTACCTACTAGGTCAAATGACGAGACAAAGCAACAACATACCCACCCGGCCCCCTTCCTTATAAGGTCTACTAACTGGATATGGAATACTGTCTTAAGTTATAGGATTCTGGATTCCTTGATCTGAATTCCCAGGATTCAGCTAGATTCCACAAACAAGATTCAAGAATCTGGATAATTAAATCCTTACAATTGGAGCATCATTAATTTTAAGTGACAATTAAGGCATGATGTAAATGCCTAATTCACATGTGTCAAATCTATGATCGCATGGCACTGCAAGCAAAATAATTATTTTTCTTACTCATAAGCAGTAATAGTCTCAGCACACATATATAAGCTCCCCGTCTAATTAAAACACGCCTGCTGCATCTCAAACAGGAGAAGCTAAATAGGATTGTTCAGTCATTATGCCAGCAGAAAGTTAAGCATGATAGTGAGGCAGCTGCAGAATTGAGTCATATTTAAATATGCTGGAATGATATATGTTACTAGTGCAACATTTATTTATCTCAGAGTTTTCTTAATTAACTTTGCCAAAAGCATGGGAATATACCCATATGAGACACCGGCAAGACTTGTACCACAATTTAATGTGGTTGGAGGGGGGCACTGCGGAGGTAAACGGACTAATGGGGTTGTGCCGCTGGAGGGGGTCATGTTTTCACAACTGACATGATTACAATGGCATTCCATTTTCAACTGAGGTACTTGAATGGTGTTGCCCATTTTTGGGATTTTGGAGTTAAGAAAATTTTTTTAACTATAGGAATTTGCAAAAATGTGGGATTTTTTTATTATGGCTGGCCTACCAGTAGTTAAAAGAGAAAGAGGTTTGCCCAGAAGTGACTAACATTGGATCTATAATTTGCCACTAAAATATAAATAGACTATATGTAAATTATGGGGTAGTGATTGTGAAACATCAGTGGCACATATGCAGCAAAAATTGACCCAGGTACCCCCTCTGGGAATAGCAAAAACATGGCTTCCAGAAGTTTCAGTTGTACAACGTATAAATGGGCTACGAAATTTAATATCTGTACCCACTGTTTGAGGAGGAGGTACAACTTACAGGGGTATGAAAGTTAGGGTAGAGTTAATAAATATGAAATTATTTGGGGGTGAAGCTTTCATTTTCACAAAATTCTTCTTCAGGGGTAGGACCCATATTCATCAGGGTAAACCCATATTTTATGGAAGCCTTCAGGGGTGAATGCAATGTTATTTAATCTTCAGGGGTAACAAGAAATGGACTCAACCGGAGCGAAGTGGGGGGGAGGGGGCGAGGACAGTGCCGGATGGATATTAAATGCAATAGCCAATTGTCATGAGTCATCTGAACAGTTGACCGAGGAAAATCATGCAATAGAGCATTATTAGGTTTATTATGATGGAGCATAATAGTGATGGTATTCGAGCATAATAGTGAAACTTGTGAGCATAAAGAAGTGGCATAGTAGTTTTAAACATTGAGCGTAAATGTAGATGTAACCCTACTGATGTCTATAACGTTGTCAATAGGGTGCATGCCAAATGAACACGCATAAAAAACAACACAACCCAAAACAAAAACAGCGAGAAAAAAGGAACCACATATTCTGTACTTACCATGAAAATACACGTCTGAATAAGACAATGTCAAGACCCTGCAAAATCTGCACCCTCCATTGGATTCCTGACCGTCCTGACGACCATTCCTGTAGCAGATCTTGACTACGTTATAATGTCTTCTTCTTGCAAAGTAAAAAAAAAAGATGGTGACGCCGATATCAGTGAAACAGATCTCGTCTCAGATAATATTAACCCCCTACACGGCAAGTTACTCAGCCTACAGTTGCAATCTTCGATTACGATTATCTTCGATAGAGACCGAAAGAAGAGACGAAGAGGGAGCCAATGAAATTGTCTCAAATTAGCCACGTGATTTGGTAGCGTAGCTGCAGACATTTCAGTCCTGCCATTGCGAAAAAAAATTTACCTCACAAACAAGTTAATCTTCGACATGTTAGTGAGCGAACATCTTTGGATACTTGCAGTCAGTGGTTTGGGACTTCTTTCTGTCATATTTTCAGGTATTCTAAATAGGTGCTAGAATTTATGTGGTTATTCCGTGACTTATTTTACGAAAGCGTTTGACGGGCAAAAATAGCTTGCGGTAAGCTTTGTCTGGAAGTAAGGTACGAGAGAATGAGGCATTTTATAAACTTAACAAAAGTGCTGTTTTATTATTCTTTTATTATTCAATGAGATGCAAATGAGCATTATGATGAGTATCATGAGTATTATGTTATTTTACTGATAAGTGCACAAGTGTGCAATCGCCGGCCTCGTTGACAAATTATCGACATCCGTTTGTAAATTTCATGCAGTTAAAAGTTTTATAAGTGTCAGCCTCTTTCACATCTCAAACGGCCGCTTATTTACGATTTAGGAACTTGTGAAATCTGTCTTTGCTTTTTTTTTTTTTTTTCTCAAAGCCTGCATTGTCGTTCGTTAACTCTGCTCTGCTGTACTTTGTGTTTTCTGTTTGTTTGCTTCTTTTGTTTTACCGCACTGTTCCTGTATGAAATAATTGAGCTTTTTGAAACTGGTTTTAAGTTAAGCCATCGAGCCCCCGCCCTCCTTGGCAGTTTTTGGTGGCTATTCATAAATGTACTGCATTTTCCTGAGTTTGTTGGGAGAGATAAATTTTTATTACTCATGATTCATTCACTCACTTATTTTTTCATTGGTTTGAGATCGATATATACGATTCTATACAGTGACAAGCTGTGAACCTTGGCATAGCAAATCCAGCTCATATACTTTTGTGTTAGGGAGTAAACTGTGTCAGTTTTTTTGTAGCGATGTGGTGGAGCCTTTTTGTAGAACAAAAGGGGTGCTTATTGATGGAACTCATGTGAATCAACAATAGTAGAACTTTGCAAATTTGATATGAAACTATGACTATGCATGCTTTAGCTGAGTGTTGAATTTTCTAGGTTTGTGAGGGATCTAAGTAGGTCTGGAGAGAGCTCTAAGCTTGTCATGTAAAAAAAAAAAACAAGTCAATGTTGAGAGAAAAGGGTTTGGTTGTGAGACTGTGTTAAAGCAGTCTCAACATAATTGATATAAAAGAGAAATGTTTTGAATGTTACTTTGGATTTGAAAAGAAAGTAATTACAGGTTAAGTAGTGTGGATAACATAATGCAGGCGAGTTCACAATGCTAACACCACTGTCGTCAGTGACTTCAGTCTCCAGATGATCATATTCAACCTACTTAAGCCTGTCGTCTAGCCTGTTCTGTAACTGGCTGGCCAGACCAGTCCAGTTGTAAGGAGAATTCCACTATTAACCAGGACTATCCAGCCAGATCAGTTTATTCTCACTGAAAGGGTGCAAAGTGGTTACATACATACATACAAACACAAATACATACATAGATTCCAAGAAGTACAATGTTTTATCCAGTGTTTTCAGTAGCAGGAGAAAGCTGTATAAGGAGAATATTTTGAAAAAGGCTCCACGTCTGAATTCGAACGTAGAATTCTTTGTTCTCTGATGCTTAATGAACACCCTGTTTATTAACTGATTAGATTTGACTAAGGCAATGGCACTTCTGGTATTCTCGCTCTAGTCCTTCTATTGAGCACTCTGACAGCAGTTCTGCATCAGCTGAAATCAAGTACATACATAGATTCTTTATTGGAACTCCCTTAAAAGGGCTTTTCAGTTACAAGACAATTCAGGCCCAAAAAAATTACAAGAAAAAAAAGGAAACAACACTAATGTATAAAAAATAATTACAAAATAATGTATCGGATAGGACTAGCTATTTCCAATTAATTGGAAAGAAGTAGTTTGACAAGATGCCATTTAAAGATGTTAACCATGCAAGTCAGGAAATTTAACATGACCATTGATGCCATTCCAATGCTTTGCCCCTCACTAGGAGAAGGACTGCTGACTGATCTCTATGGGATTTCAGAATGTTTAGCTGACCACTCTGTTTTGTTCTTCTCGTGTTAATTTGACTGTTATGTCTGCTGAAATTTTTGGCCAAGTAATTAGAAACAAGGTTGTCTATACGTTTAAACATCATTACATATACAGCCTTCTTCCTTGTAAGAAGCTATTGGGGATTTGTAGCTGGATGGGGTCGCATTTTCACGACTGGATTGACCATAATGGGGTCACATTTTCAAGAGAATTATTTACTAGAATTGCATGGGTAGCTACATTCTCTCTCTTTTTTTAATAATGATAATCGAACATATTTTATTGATATCAATCCTAACTATTAAAATCCTACTTACAATTAATTCACTTTAAAAAAAAATTGGGGTTTTATTTACGGTTATCAAACGTACCAGAAAGTTTGTACTGTAATGAAAAGTAAAGTGTTCTTCATTCAATCTAAAAAATGGGTTCAATTCATAAAAATAGAAAGTGGCTAAGTTGGGATCATGAAAATTACACATTTGCCCGAAAATGACTCACATTTAATTATGGTCTATTAAACTGGCCACAGACTAGACTATAATAGGGTAGGGGCTCTGAGAGGCCAGCGGCACATACCCAGCAAAAATTAACCCAAGTACCCCCCTGGGCTTGATATATCCATCAAATAAAATCTTAGGTTTTTGTACATTTTAAAATTATTACTTTGTTTCTTACTTATTGCTGGCAGAGAAGTGCACCCTGGGCTGCACCTTACCCCAAAGTATGAGGGATAGCCCTCCTTGGCAATAGGTCTGGATTGCTTACTCTGAGATGGTACTTAACTCACAATCCGATGTATTCTCCTTCCAGAAGGGCACCCCTCTTCTGGTCCACTCTATATGTTTCACTGTTATGTAGGGTTACCCCCTAGAGACAATGCTACTCTAGGGGGCATAGACTTTAGCTGGCCTCCCACCCACCCAAATTTTGCCAAATTATAGTTATTAATATATTAAAAATTGGAAAAAAAAGAAAGAAAGAAAAAATAAAAACCAGAATTTTTTCATCCTTAGTTTTGCAAGCCTTGCAGGGAGAAGGGGAGGAGTCATCATTTATCTGACCTTGCTTCTCCAGCCTCGTTTTCCTTGTTATACAAATACTGTAATTTCTGCTGCCCGCTTTTATGTCATTGACCCTTAGGGACTCATTAATTGAAAGTAACTTACGTTATCTGATAAATCATATCTTAGCATTACTGTTGCACAATTTCATCCCGCACAAATGGAAATATCATGGAGCATTTCTTGAATGCTGACGTGCTTGCGTGCGTGTAGGACAAAAAGTAAACACATTAATTAACTTACATAGCACTTAATATATTTCTGCAAATAATTTACGATGAGGAGAGGAAGGCATAACATTGCTCTCTGAACCATCGTAACGCGAGAATTGCTCAGGCTCCAACCAACAGATTTTGAAGCTTATTGATTTGTTGCCTCAAAAATTACATTTATGTAAAATAAAAAAAGCCTCCTATTGGAGCGGCATATTCTTCACCATACATTCTGACCATAGAGAGGTATTCCAGGCTTTCCTTCAAGAATCGTATGCAAAGAAAAAAATAACACCAGAAAAGAAAATTCAAATAAGACTACTTTAAAATTAAATATGAATTTAATCTTTTACCCGAAGGTCTCGAGAAGGTCGTTTTTTTTATCTGTAATGGTCCAAGCAATGGGGCGTGTTCCCCGGGCGTGTTCTTGCCCACCACCATACAAATGTCTGTTTTAAAAATTTCGCAGCTTTGCGAAGCCATATCTTTGCTCGCTTTCGAAGTATCACTTTTAAATTTGGCAACTTTACTAACTTTAAGGCACTCTTTTCAGTGATGTAGAAGGATTTTCCCTAACCGGTCCATGCCAAAAATGGTAAAGATTTAGGTAGCCCATTGTATTTGAAAAGCAGAGGAGTTTTGGTCCGGAGGACCTATTAGCCTGAAATCTCTGTATCTTAAAACCAGAAAATGTTTCACCTAGCTGCAGAGAAATAATTGTTTCATATGGGAGATGAATTTTTATTTTCAACTTTCATGCGTGCACGTTTTGACTTCTTGAGGCTAAAAACTGGGGGGCCCTCTCCATGCTACGGGCCTGCGTTTAGGCTAAGTAAGGGAGTCCCTGCCCCCACCCCTAGGAGTCTAAGGTGGAGTGGGATGCACGGGATGCATTCAAAACAAGTCAACAACCTCTTTCTTCTGCAGCACAAAAGATTGTAAACAGACATGATTTATTTAACAAGCAATAGTAAGGAGATCTGGCCCTTGAAAATAATGATTATTGTAAAGTTGACCTTACCTTAAACGTTTCATAATACATGTAGATGTTGATGAGTGTCTAACCCCAGATGTCTGTGGAGCCAATGCTGTTTGTAATAACACCAGTGGATCTTACAGATGTGAATGTGCAACCGGATTTGTTGCTGGCTCTGATACAGTGGACCCACAAAATCCAGTTTGTGTCGGTAAGAACGAAACATTCCAGAAAATTTTCACCAGTAAATTCAAGAAGCCGTCTACATTTGCATAAACTTTGGGCCAGCTATATACCGAGAGGTTTAAATTGGAAGTCAATCTAAAATTTTCCGTCTTGATGGGCTGTTGATGCATGATTTATATTATTAGTTTTTTGTTCGCGATTTCTTTGAGGTTCTTAATCAGTGTTGTTCACGCAAATCAGCTGGCAAATGTAAAGGCAGTGTTCTTAAAATTGCGTGAACAAATCTGTAATCTGGAGTTTTTACAAATTTTATTGGATCAGTATTTTAACACATTTCAGCAGTCGTTTTGCCCTACCCAGGGACGAGGATTCTCTACCTTGGTATACAAAAACTCTACAGTAGCTTGTTATTCTCTGTGTTTTTCTTGTTTGTAAATCTCTGCAGATGTCGATGAATGCCTGTCTCAAAATGCTTGTGGAGCCAATTATACCTGTAACAACACCGTTGGATCATACAGATGTGAATGTTCAAATGGATATGTTGCTGGCTGCATTCCGCAGTATACAGGTTTGTTGTCCTTAGTAAAAGAACCGGTCTTAGATTTAGGACGAAACCTGGTTCACGGCTGTAACTAATCAACTCAGTCAAGAAGATGATAAAAACGTAATAAATATAGGAATTCATCATGCTCTTTTCCTCACTATAATGCTAAATTTTCGTCTTTGGTAATCATGGAACGGAAAACTATATGTTTTCAAAATAACCTCCTCGGATATCGCACCAATTGTCTCCATCCTATTTTTTCCCCTTTTTATTTATATCCAGGTACGTCTCAGAAAATTGCCTTATTTGAATACCTTTCTTTTAACTTACCGCACAAGATAGACTTCATTTAAACTTGCGCTGTTCGACTATGAGTCGAACAGCAGGGGGTCTCCCTTTTTTTTTTACCTAAATGAAGATATGCGGCTGAACAAGGCATTGTTTTGTGGATGTTGATTCTTAATTAGGGTAAACAATTAAACAAGGTGCATTTCTTTCTGGACCAGAGGCCTTGGGAGGGTAGTGAACGTTGGCGATGAGTGGTTCACATTTGTGGCACCAACAACTTTTTCTTAAGAAAAATAGGCTTAATAGAAAGTTCCGTGTTAGTTTTAAAAAACGTAATTTTGTATGCGAAATGAAGTGAACGAGAATTATGAAAAATGGTCTTTTGACGTACATGTATACAGGGTAGCGAAATAAATGGTTCTTGTCTGAGGGCCTCAGCAGCACACCCCTGCCCAAGTCGTACCGCTTTCCAGATTCGCTTGAGCGATGGAATGATAACTTGCTTGATTGTCAAAGTCACGGTTAACGGAGTCCCCTTTGGAGGGAAGGGATGCCCTTAGCACATATGTCACCGATGTGCACTGTGCACGTGCATTATCGTTCCCTAGCATCTCCTTGTCAGTACTGATGGAGGGTTGTTAAGAATTGCTTCCAGACAGAGGCTTATGTTCACTTTAGCACAAGGCATAAGGCTTGCTCTCCTTTTGCAAACTATAATATCCCAAAATTGTTTCTAGTTTCCTTACAGCAGACATTTATCACGAGTCTATGTACATTTTTACTTAAACATAGCTGAAGTAATGTGACACGATGTTGTCCCGCGTGGTTGGACTGCTTGCCCTGCAAAATGCAAAAGTAAAGCTCTTTTATGCCGCCCATCAGTTACTGTTGCTTGTGTAGTAAAACTAGAATTCAGCTCCAGTTTTGTCACGCGCCTTGTCAGTGGGGCTGATTGCTCACCAACACGATCACAGGGAGCATTAATTCGTGGTCATTGGTAAACTGCTTAGGATTATTGTCTCCTTATAGTCAATCAACGCTCGTCTCAGAAGTGGCAAACGCAAGTAATTTTAAATACACTAGAAAGATGGTGTCTATTTAAAAAAGAAAAACACACACAGCACATATTGGTCATGCCCAAATACGGGAGTACCTGGAAATGGCGTTCACTACAGTCCAGACTATACAGTCGGAGAAGAGAATGTAAATCATATGACAGATCAATTCTTCCTTTTATGTGCAATTTTGTTTCTTAACTTTTGTAGATTTAGATGAATGCCAGTCCCCAGATACTTGTGGAGCCAATCATGTCTGTAATAACACCGTTGGATCATACAAGTGTGAATGTCCAATCGGATTTGTTGCTGATTCTGGTGCACAGGACCCACTGAATCCAGTTTGTATCGGTAAGAAGTAAAGTGGTCTAGAAGGAAAGGTAAAGTTTTCTAGTCAAGTCCAAGAAAAACTTGCAAAGAAACTCAATCAGAAAATGTGTTCTAGCGGAACCTGTTTATATGATCACCCTCAGCAGCTCCTGAACTCTCCAGTCCACTGTATTCGCAGGCTAAAACTTCTCCTCTCCTTTCTCACAAGCGAATATTCCGGAACCTTTCGATCAATATGAATTTGTTCAAGTTTCTTTTTTCCATGCATTAATTCTACAACAAATCAAAAATTGCCCAGAGTAGCGTGGTCGTATACCCTGAAATTATCTACATGTAAACCTTATCAGAAGTCTGAAGTCTGAACAGTTTGCATGTGATCTGATCTGAAGCTTCTTGAAGGTACCAGGTCATCTTACTTGGTCTACCCGGGCGAGTGATACTAACTAGACTCAATCCCGGATTTAAAACCGATCTAAAGTCTGGAGTGCCGCATTGGCTTCAGTGGTTGTTAATTAGAACGTCATACCGTACTGCAGTTTTGCTTTGGGGATGATTTTGGAAAGATTTAAGGTCTCGGAAAATGAAAATTTTAGTACATTGCTCGATTTTGTTTTTTTTGGATTTTTGGCATGAGTGGGTCCTAAATTTTATTTTGGCAGAAAAAGAAAATCAGAAAGTGCTTTTTAACCGTTCTAAAATGAGCCTTTTCTGCGCTAACCAGCCAAGCGTGGAACTCGCGCTAAATCTTTAGAGCTGATTTTCTCTCACTCTATTTTAGACGCAAAAATCAAAATTCTCCGACCTCCAGTCGGGACAGGTTTTAAGCTATCGCTTTGAAACTTTCAGATATGATGGATAATGATATAGACTCAAAAAGGGTGTGAGGAATTTTCCGATTTCCCTTTGTAACTCATTTTATGTCAGTTTCTTTGTCCGGGCGTAAATCGCGCTCGAGATTCGACTTTTTAGTTTGAAATGCAATAATTCCGCTAATACGAGACATATGCAAATTTCCTCACACCCTTTTTTAGGTCTTTTATCTGTCAATCAGACGCAATAAAAAGGAAGTGAATATTTAACAACGCGAAAGGGCTGGAGCTTCAGCAGTAAACTCGATACCTCTGAGTTCGAGAGCAAAAAACTTAAGCGCCTTTTGAAATTCGATAAAATAAAATCTTTTATAAGGTAATTTAGTCTTTTAGCTTTAATTTGATATATAACTTGCCTTTGTAGCGAAAATACTCGCGCGACTAGAATTTTTTTCTGTGGGCACCTCGTTTTCCTTTACCGAGACCTTAAAATTCAGTATGTTGTGGTTGAGTGTGATATATGTCGAATTACAATTTTATTACTCTGCCCCAGTGAATATGCAGCAGCTTTTTTGCGACTTATGCAGACTTTGACGGGCCCCGCTTCACGGACACCCGCTTGATTCGAACACCTTATTTATTACGGACACTTTGCTTTTTCCCTAGGGAAAAAAGCCCTTTCATTTTCTCTCAACAGGCCATTTCCGAGTTCCCCCCGAGCCTCTGTATCAAAACGAGGTTAAGTGCCCAGCCTTTGATATGGAAATGACTTTTCATTCTCATGCAAATAAAACTCATTTTCACAAGGTCGTGCACTTGGCCTCATTTTGAAAGTGAGGGTTTTTGGAACTCGGAAGTGGCCTATTCAACCCGCTTAACCCTTTAAGTCCCAGTAGTGACCAAGATCAATTTTCACCTAACAAAATCCATACACTGTCAAGAGATAAGTTATGAGAATTAATAAAATGATCACCCGAGAGAAATGCCTTGATCTATCATCAAATTCTCTCAACTAATTCTTTAAGGAAATGTATGGAGATTAGTTGGAGAATTTGTATGTGGATTCTGGGGCTTAAAGGGTTAATATATACGGACACTTTCTGTGGCCCCCTCAGTGTCCGTATTAACGGGTTGTGACTGTATCTCTGCAGATATTGATGAGTGCCAGTCTCCAGATGCTTGTGGAGCCACTTCTGTCTGTAATAACACCATTGGATCATACAGATGTGAATGTTTGACTGGATTTGTTACAGACTGCGGCCTCCAGAACCCAATTAATGTAGTTTGTACCGGTGAGAAGTAAATATAAACCCGTTCAGTAATTGCATGGATTGTTTGCGATTTATATCGATCTTATTAGAGCTACACTGTTAGCAGAAACATGCCAGAAGTATGATAAATGAGTTAAAAATTAGACGTGTTCATTGAATTTGTGAGGATGAAGATTGATGTTCTAGATTTAATAAAGCGTTTTCACTCACGTCACCCACAGCCATGCAAATTTATAGGCACAAAGGAAAGTTTTTACATAAAGAAGGGTTAATTAACTCCTACAGAATTGGTTTTATTGGGAATGACCAACATGACTGCGGTGGCATTTTGGGGAACCAACACGGCGGACGTGACGTCATGTGAAAACGCTCCATAGGGTTTCCATCTTGCCCTGATGAAGGGAGAGGCTACTTTTAATTCTACTTCTACTCATTTACTCTTTAACGCTTTGGCATCGAAAAGAGCTTAATAAAAATAAAAACATTTTAAAACATGTTGTTGGCAGCTGTAATGAATGCGGCCTCTCCTTGCATGAAGGCGACACACTAGAACGTAAGTCGGTGATATCTTGATGCATCAGTTTAATTCTCTATTCCCAGCCGAAGGATGCGCCTTTTTTAGTACTTGACCGTTGTCGGGTTGTTTATTACTCTCTATACCATATGTGGAAATTTCTTTGTACCTTTGATTCGTAGATCTAGATGAATGCCAGTCCCCAGATGCCTGTGGACCCAATCATGTTTGTAATAACACGGTTGGCTCGTACAGATGTGAATGTCCAATCGGATTTGTTGCTGATTCTGGTGCACAGGACCCACTGAATCCAGTCTGTGTCGGTAAGAAGTAAAGTGATCGAGGAAAGCTACCTTTTCTCAAATAAAGACCAAGAAAAAAAATGCAAGGAAGCTTCAGAAAGTGTAATTCCTTTGATGTAGTTTGTGGTGACACCAGAGAGTTCTAAAGAGTGAAAACGATGTTGAAAGTGGCAGCAAATAAACAGGACATAGCGGCTCTGAATGAAACCAAACTGACTCACTGGAAATTGAAAAATACTTCAAACATTGAGAGAATTCACGTTTGCTTACTACAAAAGTGTTGATTATTTTTCCCACTTTTTTTCGCATGATAACTAGAAAAAGTGTGATAAAAAGATCCATTGTAAGGGAAACACGCGTAAAACTAGCCTGTTCCAAGCGTTCAGATAGTGGAGAGCGGTGCGAAGTAAACATAGCGATGAAAAGGAGAGGGGGACTGGGGAGAGAGGTGCGGGAACGCTTGTAAGAATTTTTAACAAAAGTGCGTTCCGGTATACCAGATCCAGGTATACCCTCTGATTGGTTGATTTTGACAGTTTTTGTCAACAGTGGAGCGTCTTCGATCACAGCGAGAAATGCGATATGGCGATGATGACAGACTCTACGTTCCGTCCAGAATTCGAACTCGCAACAGATGAGCCTATTTAAAATCTAAGAGGCGTTCCCTCTCCCCCACTCCCTCGCTTTTACTTTTTCGCGCTCCTTTTTTCTTCGCACCGCTCCCCACTATCTGAACGCCTGGAACAGGCTAGCGGAAAACGTTTGTTAAATGGTTTTGACTGAGCTAATAAGTCATGAATAGGAGGTCGCATGCTACTGAAATTTGAAAAGCACAATTGTGGTATCTTAAAGTAGGTAAAAGCAACAACAACAGCAGCAATAACAAAAACGCATCCGGCAGTAACTACTTTTATTTGTGTCATTACTCCACCTGGATAAGAATTTTTATGGATAATTTTCTTCTGCCATTTCGTAGATTTTGATGAATGCAAGTCCTCATATGCTTGTAGAGCAAATTATGTTTGTAATAACACCGTCGGATCATACAGATGTGAATGTTCCACTGGATTTGTTGCTACCTGCAGTACACAGGACTCGCTAAATCCAGTTTGTGTTGGTAAGAGTAAAGCAGTCCAGTCAATTAAGAAGTTATTTTTTACAGAAACTATCAGTGTGGCATACAGCTCCCTAAACAATAGCTTCTTCCTTCGTCACGCACAATTTTCTTTGTAATCTTTGTAGATTTAGACGAATGCCAGTCCCTAGATGCTTGTGGAGCCAATCATGTATGTAATAACACCATTGGCTCGTACAGGTGTGGATGTCCAATCGGACTTGTTGCTGATTCTGGTGTACAGGACCCAGTGAATCCAGTTTGTATCGGTAAGAAAATAAAAAATAATTTAAGGGATGTAAGAAACGTTTTTTGACAATTGACAGATAATTGAAGCGTTAACCGAGAAGACGCTGGGAAGAGTTTGAGCTGTTTTGGTAGTGAGTGCAAAATGGCGCAACATTTTACTCGTTTCATGGCGAACTATTGTCTAAAAACATGGCAAGAACAGCAAGAAGCCAACTCGACGGACGACATCTGCTATTTGAAGTACATTTGCAGACATGAAAAGCCCTTTATCTCCTAAGTTTCCTGAAAAACATGCACTATCGAGATGAACTTAACATCGACGGAGGTAAGCATGCTTAAGCTTGCTTTTAAACTAGGACTTATTTTGAATGAATAATTCATCCATTTATCCATAATTCTTCAGATGATACTCAGCCTCATTCAATAATTGCTAAATATCAACTCAATGGTGATCCAAGAGTGATATATCAAACTCTCTTTTCATTTCTCCTTCCTGGACCGTCCTGTTAAATCTCGGTCGGAGACCTTAGGTTTGAGGACTAGGTAGACTACGACTCGATTATTCTTATTGAAGGTGGCTAAGCCCTCTACGGATTAAAAAAAAGATAAAAGTGCTAACCGTTGACAACCTGTTTCCGCCACTATGAATTCTCTTCAAAACAAGTAAAAGTAGCATGACAACAACTTTCATGTTTTCCCGCCAAAATGACGCTGATTGACGCGCGCGAACTCAGTACTTTGTATTGAGAAAATCTCGTCCTCGGATTCGTCTTCGTCTTAGAAACTAAAGCTCTCTACTGCGAACTACCCAAAGACGATTCTCATTCAGTCAAATGCCTGTAATCTATCTTTTCCTGGACACCGAGTGGCCCCCGCAATGCTGTTCGCATACCGGGGCGTCCAACTAATAACATGCTGAACATGGTGGTCCGCTAGGCAAGAATTGCTTGGACTGATCACGGGTTACGTGTTTTGGGCTTTATGAACAATGTTGTACATTTGCAGATATTGATGAATGCCTGTCCTCTGATGCTTGTGGAGCCAATTCTGTCTGTAATAACACCGTCGGATCATACAGATGTGAATGTTCAACTGGATTTGTTGCTCACTGCGGTTCACAGAACCCACTAAATCCAGTTTGTGTTGGTAAGAAGAAAAATTGAGGAGTAAAAAAAAATTGAGTTAATGAACTGTTATTACTCGTACCCGCATAGTCGAAAACAGGGTTGGCTTTGTTTCTTAAGTGCTCTCACTAATTCTTCCCTCTCTAAGCTATGCAGCATTATGATGTGATCCACATTTGTCCGAGGCGTGACATAGTAACTTTTTGGCGGGGGGGTGGGGGGCGGTGGGGGGCATAGATTGTTTAATTCTTGACTGCCCTCCAATCCCTAAAAGTATAGTACAGTCAAACCCCGCTCTACGGACACCCGCTCAATACGGACACCTCATTATTATGGACACCCACTAATATGGACACCTCATCTTATTACAGACAGTTTGCTTTGTCCCTGAGAATAAAGCTCTTACCTTTTCTCTAAATTCAACCCGCTTAATACGGACTCCGGCTTCACTAAATACGAACACTTTCTATAACCCCTCAATGTTGGTGTTACCAGGTTTCAGTGAATGTGCTTCAAAAAAATTTAGAAATTAAAGAAATAGATAAAAAAAGCGTGACATAGTAACGTTATTCTCAGTTTATTCTCTATGTTAAATTTTGGTTAATTTGTAAGACGCTCTGCCGATACGAAGAATTAGTAAAAGCTTTCCTCCATTTTCATGTAGAATTTCTTTGTAACGGTCGTAGATTCAGACGAATGCCAAGCTTCAGATGCTTGTGGAGCCAATCAAGTTTGCAATAACACAGTTGGCTCGTACAGGTGTGAATGTTTAAACGGATTTGTTGCTGATTCTGGTGCACAGGACCCGCTGAGTCCAGTTTGTATTGGTAAGAAGTAGAGTATAATCTAAGGATATAAAATTATCCTAGACTGCAGACAATTGTTGTTTTTTTGAAATGTCGAAAGTTATACAGTATAAAGTAAACTTGTCCATACTTCCAAGGAACTTAAAGTACTTGCAATACACTATAAACTTTAGATAGGTAGCCAGCGTCGCAGACATAACAAGTTTACGGGTTACCCAGGTTAGTAACCAGAGTTTGGTTTCGTCTCTTGGTTTCGTCTGTGACGCAGGCTGGACTTTTGGTCAATCACAGGGAACCTGGACTCCGTATTAACTATATCATAAACCGTTGTAATTTATACCTGTGTTCTTGAGCCGTCGTTTTGGAAGGGATTTGAATTACAACGAAGACAGTTACGTCTCAAGTTTCCAGTTATTATTAAATGTTAACTTTCTTTTAAATTGAAACCCGACTTTGTCTCCTCAGTTAACAATAATAATAATGATAATGGAAACTTGAGACGTAACTCTCGCTCGCTCGACAAGATTGAACATTTCATCAGTGAACCCAGCAAGGTAAACCGTCTTCAATTTGACTCAAAACCACTCATAAAGACTCAGGAACACAGGTAAATACACAGCGTTCGGGTTCCCCGTTGTCAAATGCTCTTTCCGGTAATCTTTGGACAAAGCTGTTAACTTACATTAACAAACATTAACGTTGCAGCAAACGAATCGAGAACGAACCTTGATGTAAAATTACAATAATTTGTGCTTAATTTCCTGCCCTCTGTGGCCGTTAAGCAAGATATTCTGTGGTACCCGCAGAAAAGTACCGCAAAATGACCTTTGTAAATTGTAACCTTTGCAGATTT